TTAGTGAACTTAAGGCTAGTCTGAGGCTAGTCAATTTAGTAGTATGATCTGACAGCCCCGGGCTAGCTACAGAAGTATTGTTATGATAAACAGCGCTGGCAGCAATGTGTTTTAGAAGTGTTTAGGGTGAGGGTTAAATTGTTTTCAATACAGGTGCACGTTGAGGGTCAGGCAGTCAGGTACAGCACATGCGAGTGCCCAATCGGCAGAGACAAGTGCCATCATATGGCAGCTTTGTTGATTTGGGCAGAAAAAAATGTGTCCCGCACCGACGTGGAATGTGTGTGGAAGAAGGCCAACACTCCGAAGGGGGACGAAATTGCAGCCAAGAGAGTGTCTGAGATGACACCATCCACAACACGAGGTTTGTCATAAGTTTGTTGATGTTGCGGGGTTTTAATTATTTTCTTAACTACGTAATGTGGTTTAAAGCTATTGCTAATAATATTAATCGCATTTATGAAACTCTTCTAACATAAACTCACGGTGTGTTGTAGTTTTTTTTAATGCTTAGATTGTGTGCTATAAATAAATGATGATCATAATAAAAGGCTATTATATTGAGATAAATATCATTATTCATTTCATCATTATAACCAGTTTTATACCATTATTTCAGCTGGCATCAAAAGACCTGTCACCCAGGAGGACAAAGAATGGGTTCAGGCATCCCTGGTGCAACTTGGGCGTTTTACAGGGATGGGGTGGATTTTGAGTCCAGAGACGCCTCAGGTAAGATTTTTTACATTGGTACTTTCATGTTCCCTTAAAATTAGCAGAAACATCACAACTACACTACATTAAATTGATGACAATTTGGTTAGGGTTTTGTCATCCAACACAATAATTTTGTACAATGTTATATGTTTAAAAAATTCTTGAAATTTGAACCAAATCAAACTGTAATATAGTTAATAAGTATTACATAGTTTAGGCTCATGAAAAATTTGGTAAACTACACATATGTATGTATGTATGTACACTGTAAAAAAAAATCCTAATTTTACAGAAAATAACTGTGATTTTTTGACGATCATTTTCTTTCATTTTAAATTGTAATCAAAACACTGTAAAATTACAAATAATATCTGTCAAATAAAAATTCAGCTGTTATTTTAGGTATTGTGACATTAATGACAAATTGCAGTAATTCACATTTTTTATACAGGAAATTGATTGTATTTTTCATACAGTATTTTTTCTGTTTTCTTAAATTACATAAAAATGTATGTAAAATTACAAATATAATCTGTAATTAAACAGTAACAAAAAAGTTAAATGATAAAACGATCAAATGACTGGCAGCCCCCAAAAAACTGTAACATTAAAGTAAAAAATCCTAAATTAAATAAACTGAAAAACACTGTGATAATTCAGGATATACCTGTAAAATAACAATCATATACCTTCAGTGGAAAAAAAAATCGTAAAAAGAGGGTCAAATGACTGGCAGCTACGGCTGCCAAACAAAAACCATAAAATTAAAGTACAATCTTCTAATTCAAATAAAACAAAAAACACTGTTATTTCACAGGTATTTCCTGCATTATTATGATCATATCCCTTTATTGTAAAAAAATCGTAAAAAAAGGGTCAAATGACTGGCAGCTATGGCTGCCAAACAAAAACCATAAAATTAAAGTAAAATCTTCTAATTCAAATAAAACAAAAAAACACTGTTATTTCACAGGTATTTCCTGCATTATTATCATCATATACCTTCATTGTAAAAAAAGCGTAAAAAAAGGGTCAAATGACTGGCAGCTACGGCTGCCAAACAAAAACCATATAATTAAAGTAAAATATCCTAATTTAAATAAAGTGTAAAAAACTTTAATAGAAATGTGATGTCACCATGATTGAGATCAGTGTTTGCTTTAGTTGGGCTCATGACTCTTGAGTTTCAACATTACTTTTTCTCTGGTTGCTTTAACTGTGTTTTGATGCACATTTATTATGGCAATAATTGCAAGAGAAAATATAAGATGATCTTGATAATTTATTGATGATTTTATAGTCATCATATGATGATCTGATTCATTGATATGACAGTCAAATCTCTATTGGCTGTGAATACATTATATATAGATGGACTTTAGTGTTATACAAAGTTATACTTTTTTTCACATGATTTGTTGAAATATTGTGAGATCAGTATTAATGCAATCTCAAACTAAAAATTTTTTATATATTCTACATACATTTTTTCGAGTTTGTTAGGAGTATGGAGACATCAAGAATCAACATATGAATCTCAACAATGGTGACTATCAACAAAGCCTTTTTGTGACTTTATAATAGGTCAGATTTTTTTTTTATTGTCACCATTGTTGAGATTCATACGCTAATTATTGATGTCTGAGTGAGTCTGTATGATCCTGTCAAAACATTTTTTGCCTAATGACTTCATAAAATCTTATATCAAAGTAGGGCTGCACGATTAATCGCACGATATTGTTATGCGCATCTAATCAGTAAAGCCGGTTCCTTGATTAGTAGTAAATCACCTTCACCTGCTTTCAGATGGAGCGGCATTTACTACAAAGAGGCGTAGTTAACTGACAAGCTGAGCCAAATCGCATTAAAATCAAGGACATATCGCCAACGATGTTTAATGCGATATGGCTCAGCTTGTCAGTTAACTACGGCTCTTTGTACACAGCAAAAATGAACACACCTGGGAGTGTATATGAGTCCACACTCAAGAGTGTTAAAGTTAATGAGATATTTAAGTGATTAATTGAGTGATGATTGAGCATTATTGAAGACACCTAAAGCAGAATCACTGAAGGAGAAAACCGGAATTTCAGGTCACCATTATGGAGATGAGTGTTTGCTTTAGTTGGGCTCTTGACCCTTATAATATTAACTTTAGATTTTGTTTGGCTGATGTATCTGAGTTATAACTGCCAGATGAACAAAGAAAAAAAATTTATCTAATGGTGTTGGTTATAATATGACATTCATCATTTGAACTAATTGTTTGTGATTTATGCTGTTGGTTACAGCATAACTGAGATTCTGCATAAATATCCAGAATTTGAGATATAATATAAAGGATTTCTTAAAAGTTGAAAAAAAAAAAGTCTTTCTTTTAGGCACACACAGATATCAAGATTCAGTCAATGCATCTCAACAATGGTGACGAGCAGAATATTAAATTAGGAAAAGTAAATTACATAGACAATTCAGATCATAATTTATTCATACCGCAATGCATGATGGGAGCCATTAATGAGTTGTGATTGGTGGCAACAAGGATTATTATTGTCACCACGGTTGAGATTCACAGGCTGATTATTGATGTCTGTGTTTCTAAATAAATGCATTTGAAAGTGATTTGATCATAACAATTTTTAATAAATGTTTTGGATTATAAGAAAAATACAATTATCATATGCCTTAGAACCACTAAACTGTTGCTATCAAGTTAAACCAGATCATCTGAATGAGTTTCATTTTTCAGATCACAGCATGATTATGTCAAAACATAACCAACACTATCAGATCACACTTGTCTTTGTTCATTTGACTGTAATAAATCAATAATAGCAGACAAACAAAAATTAAACTTAAGGTATAAGGATCAAGAGCCCAACTAAAGCAAACACTGATCGCCATAACGGTGGCTTACAATTTTAGATTTTCTCCTTCAGTGATTATGCTTGTTAACATCAGGTGTCCTCAATAATGCTCAATGATCACTAAATTAATCACTTAATTATCTCATTAACTTTAACACTCTTGAGTGTTAATTTAACACTCATATCTGCATCATATCGTCCATCTGAAAGCAGGTGAAGGTGATTTACTACTAATCAAGGAACCGGCTTTACTGATGAGATGCGCATAACAATATCGTGCGATTAATCGTGCAGCCCTATATCAAAGCATTGAAGGATCTTCTATAGCAATACTGGCATTCTAAATTAACAATTAACATTTTACAACTTATTCAGTCATTAAAAAGTCATGCCAATCAGGTGGTATCAATACAGCAGACAACTGCTTGATGAATATTATCACTATTAAGTGACCAACATCATCTGATCTGAGTTTCTCTCGATTTCCTACAATAAGAAATATGCATTAAAGACATGCACAGTTAAGAGAACTAATGTTAATATATGAAGGGTCAAGAGCCCAACTAAAGCCAACACTGACCTCTATCATGGTGACATCAAACTTTATTATTTTCAATAAAATATCACCTTCTAAACCTCTGTTATTTCTCAATAGGAATGTTAGTATGAAAGAAGTCTGGATTGTAATAAGTGAAGATGCTGAGATCTTGAGAGATCTGTTATTGTTTAATGTTCTGTTGGGATGTAAATTGTTTCTGTATGGTGTGTTTTGTGTGTCACCATTGTGTTGAAGAGTAGAGCCTGAGCTTCAGTCCAGGATGAGCAGAGAGACACTGATGAAATGCTGCATGTTGTTTTATTTAACAGACAGTAACTGTGTAGTTGCTGATGACATATAATCAGTAAATCATGCGTGTAGTTTATAGCAAGATATTTACTTTTTACAGTGAATATGTTTTTTAGTAAAAATTCAGTAAATATATATATATATATATGTGAAAGAACAGTGTTTCTGTTAAAAAGCTTAATGAAGATTTCTGCAATAGTATTTATTATTTAAATTAGGATATTTTGCATTCATTTTATGGTTTTTGTATGGCAGCCATTGCTGACAGTCATTTTACCTTTTTTCACAGTGAAGGTGTTTGATCATAATAATTCAGGAAATAACTGTAAAATAACAGTGTTTTTCTGTAAAACATTTAAGGACAAAGTTTGGAAAAGTTTTTTGCACTCAATTTAAATTAGGATATTTTACTTTATTTTTACGGTTTTTGTTTGGCAGCCGTAGCTGCCAGTCATTGACCGTTTTTTTACGATTTTATTTTTTACAGTGTATGTAAACTATTGCTTTCATTTCAAATGTATTTTGTATACACTATGTGTATGTATGTGTATGTACAAGTATGTGGACACCTCACTGACTTTACAACTTTTGCCTAACTTTAAATCTAGACTCTCCCAATCAAGATGTTTGATGGGCTGGTGACCAGCCCAGGTTTTGTCCAAGCTGAGGACAAGGCTCTATATGTGCTGTCAAGGCTTGCTGTTAATGATCAGGAGAAGCAGCAGATTGAGGAAGCAACAGTTGGCCAGGCTAAGAATGCATTATGGTAAGAAAGCTTATTAATAAATACACCCCTGCTCTAAGAGAATGTTAGTTGCTTTCGATAAATTTACTTATTGTAAGCTGATATGGATAAAAGTGTCTGCTAAAGGCTGTAAATTTGCTCAGAATTTAGAAAGTGCGCTGCAGAATGTCAGATTGTTTTTACATGAAACTGTAATGCCAGTTGTTGAGCAAAATTGATCTTTCTCATGGTTGGTTTCTTTTAACAGGTTTGCATATCGCAAGAAAAGGATAACAGCAAGTAACTTTGGTTTGGTCTTGGCAGCAGTCAAGCGGAAGTCTTACCCGCCTTCCTTATTCAAAACCCTGCTTGGCCAGTACAACCTCAAAGAAGGATCTAAAGTAAGTTGTAGTTAATAAGTGAATATTTAAAATGAAGGCATCTGTGTCTAAGAATACACTTATTAAGACTAAGTGGTATTTGTCCCCTCCCGCCAAGGCATGTGATTGGGGAATCCTGCATGAGCCAAGGGCAAAGCAGGAATACACTGAGCGCACTGGTGTTGTTATACAAGAGAGGGGACTGTTCCTGTCTGATAGTGGCCTGCTTGGTGGATCTCCGGATGGGACGGTGTTTGGAAACTGCATGATTGAAGTCAAGTGTCCGTGGTCAGCCAGAACCAAGACTATCCTGCAGGCAGCGGAGAGTAGGGACTTTTTCATGGAGTTTGATGAAGTGATTGGTTCCCTGACGCTAAAACAAACTCACAACTACTGGCATCAGATCCAAGGAAACCTGCACCTGACTGGAGCTAACAGCTGTCACCTGCTTGTGTGGACTCCTCTTGACCTTGTCCTTCTACCAGTGCTCAAAGACCCTACATGGGCTGTGAACATTGACATTCTGGAAATATTTTATAAAGATTGTTTCCTACCATACATTCTCTCACGGTTGTAAGTGCTGTAAAATTTGCAAATAAATGAAAATGTGACATTTCACACAAGCCAGGTAATTTATTTATTATACATATTTATTATTAATTATTATTTAACATCTATATTATGTCACAAATATTACATATTTATTATTATAGTTTGTAGGCCCTTCATGCTACAGAACTTATAAAGGTAACACTTTATTTCACAGTGTGTTACATTTGTTGCATGTACTTACATAGTAATATCAGTAAATGATGCATAATTACATGCAACTAACCCTCAAACAAACCCTAATCCTACCCTAACCCTATAGTAAGTACATGTAGTTAATTAATATTACTCAGTTCTTAAATATATAATTACACTGTTACAATGACACCTTAAAATAAAAAATATATATAATTAAAATAAAACTATAAATACAGTTATTTATATACAGACATGAATTACACCCAGAAATTCATGTATATACAATAGTTAACTCATCCAATTTCACGGAGAATGGGTGTTTGTAAATTTGTAAGACACACACACACTTTAAGTATCTTGTTTATATTTTGTTTGAACTGGTATGGAATGTGGTCCAAAATGTGAAACAATTTCAGTCGCTGAATTGAACGCTCCACATGTATCCTAGCTTTTGAAATGAATCTGTTATTGTTCACTTCCTCCTGCGTAAATTGTCCATTGACGAGGAAAGACGGGATGTTCAGGGAAACTCCTTCTGGCAAAATGTCCCGAATTGTGAAGCCCTTGTCTGCCATAACCATATCGCCAGGATGTAAATGTTGGAGAAGTCCACAGTCAGCTGTTATTGCCTTGTCTGAGGCACTCCCACCGTACAGGTCACTGGCAAATGTAATAATTCCATTAGGCGCCACACCGATTAAAGCCTTAAGTGGTTCGTCCTTTGTACTGGCTGTACAAATGGCACTGTGCATCAAGCCTCTCTGTGTTGGAGACGGCAACCTCTGTGCAGTCGAGCATGATCCTACAGTTAGGGAAGGGCTGGAAGCAGTCTGGCAGCGATGTTTGATTCTTGCCTGTGGAGGGGATGTTGTTCTCAAGCAAACCGACATACAAAATCTCATACAGGGCACTAATGATGGTGGTGAAGATGTTGGTTACTGTGGCTGTGCTACAATTAAATCTTGTTGCAAGGTCTATGTGGCCGCAATTTAGTCTAAGCTTCATTAAGGTCAGGAGCAATTGATCAACTAAGGGCATAATTTGGACAGTCCAATCAGAATGATATTTTAACTCAAATTTAGAAAGAAGCGCTTCCAAAAACAGGACAGTGGCAACATCAGGCAATCCAGTAAAATATTGAACTCTGTCAGGACTATTAGAAATTTGACTGAAGGAAAAAATTTGCTTCTGGTTCTCCAATTGTTTTTTCAATTTTTCATTCTCTTCTCTCAGCATCTCATTCTCCACCTCAAGTGCCACAAGACTTTTTGAAGTACATGCAGGGGTCTCTACCATGTCAGCATCCGTTCCCTCATCCTCACCATTGCTAGGGACCAGTTGTTTCTTTCGTTTAGGGAGATGGCTGAGGTGCTCTGGGAATTGGAAAGTCTTCCCCTCATTCCAAGCAAATCTTGATGGCCCAGCAGCTTTTCCATTGGGGAAATGCCAACTGCACACCCTAGAGTTGCAGTTTGGGATGAAGTTTTCACGTCTGTAAAAAAAAGAATTTTTTAAATATTACTTTTTATTATTTTTAGAATCAAATTACAATCATTCACCAAAGGGATTTTTTTTTATTATTCAAACATTTGTACCATGTTCCTATTGACCAGAAAGACTTATTTCAGGTAAAATTCTGACAATACCTCGCAGCTCGCTTACTGTACATACAACAATCAAGTAGGTTTATGAAACAATTACTGTAATTCACCTAAAGTACTTTTTCATGTTCCAAAGGTTGTAGTATTTTCCTAGTGACCTGTCTGACTTACTACATGTGACATTTTGATAATACCTAATAATACTGTCTTACATAATAATATACTACTTTAATTCACTAAAAGGGGGTTTGTTTGTTTCAGGTTGTAGTACATTAATAGAGTGTGCATTAATAGAGGTGCAGCACGCACATCCAAAACAATAAAGCTGGGTGCTGGGCAGACAGGTAGTTGCAAAAAATAAACAATGAGTCCGCACACCAGAAAATGCTCCTAAGTGAATTTAATAGTTGCTCACCACGTGTAACGTTTCGGGCCCAAGCCCTTCATCAGACAGCTTGGGCCCGAAACGTTACAAGTGGTGAGCAACTATTAAATTCACTTAGGAGCATTTTCTGGTGTGCGGACTCATTGTTTATTTTTTGTAGTACATTAATAGACATGAGTCTGATCTTATATCTCAGACAAATGAGAAACGTTAGCAGATTATCATACTATAACTGGTCTAATGTTTTTCCTTGCTATGTACACACATCTTCATGCTTCGACTTGTCTATAGACTGTTGCCAAAGCTAACGTTAGCAAGTTAGCCTTAACTTAGTTTCATCTTAACTAGGCGGCAGAACAAGGCCTGACAACCGAAACATGATGCAAGATTTGGGTTTATAGCAACAAACAACATATAAAACCCATAGACTACATAAGCCCTTTTCTTAAAGTCGTCAGTTGGTGTTAGGGATTAAGGGATAGCACCTAGCAGCTATATAAATAGTCTCTGATAGCACCCACTGGCGCCAAAGTTTCTTCATTCGTTTAAGATTTGTAACTTACCTTATCAACTGCAGCCATTTTCTCTTATCTTTCTCGTCACATGGAAAGCGGTACACTGTAAAAAATAAAGTCGTAAAAAAACGGTCAATGACTGGCAGCTACGGCTGCCAAACAAAAACCGTAAAAATAAAGTAACATATCCTAATTTAAATTGAGTGCAAAAAACTTTTCCAAACTTTGTCCTTAAATGTTTTACAGAAAAACACTGTTATTTTACAGTTATTTCCTGAATTATTATGATCAAATACCTTCACTGTGAAAAAAAGGTAAAATGACTGTCAGCAATGGCTGCCATACAAAAACCATAAAATGAATGTAAAATATCCTAATTTAAATAATAAATACTATTGCAGAAATCTTCATTAAGGATTTTACCAGAAACACTGTTCTTTCACATATATATATATTTACTGAATTTTTACTAAAAAACATATTCACTGTAAAAAGTAAATATCTTGCTATAAACTACACACATGATTTACTGATCCTATGTCATCAGCAACTACACAGTTACTGTCTGTTAAATAAAGCAACACACAACATTTCATCAGTGTTTCTCTGCTCATCCTGGACTGAAGCTCAGGCTCTACTCTTCAACACAATGGTGACACACAAAACACACCATACAGAAACACTTTACATCCCAGCAGAACATTAAACACTACCAGATCTCTCAAGATCTCAGCATCTTCACTTATTACAATCCAGACTTCTTTCATACTAACATTCCTATTGAGAAATAACAGAGGTTTAGAAGTTGATATTTTATTGAAAATAATAAAGTTTGATGTCACCATGATAGAGGTCAGTGTTTGCTTTAGTTGGGCTCTTGACCCTTCCTATGTAAACATTAGTTTTTCTCTTAACTGTGCATGTCTTTGATGCATATTTCTTAATGTAGGAAATCGAGAGAAACTCAGATCAGATGATGTTGGTCACTTAATAGTGATAATATTCATCAAGCAGTTGTCTGCTGTATTGATACCACCTGATTGGTATGACTTTTTAATGACTGAATAAGTTGTAAAATGTTAATTGTTAATTTAGAATGCCAGTATTGCTATAAGAAGATCCTACAATGCTTTGATATAAGATTTTATGAAGTCATTATGTAAAAAATGTTTTGACAGGATCATACAGACTCACTCAGGCATCAAGAATTAGCGTATGAATCTCAACAATGGTGACAATGAAAAAAAAATTCTGACCTATTATAAAGTCACAAAAAGGCTTTGTTGATAGTCACCATTGTTGAGATTCATATGTTGATTCTTGATGTCTCCATACTCCCAACAAAATAAGCCAACTCAAAAAAATGTATGTAGAATATATATATTTTTTTAATTTGAGATTGCATTAATACTGATCCCACAATATTTCAACAAATCACGTGAAAAAAGTATAACTTTGTATAACACTAAAGTCAATCTATATATAATGTATTCACAGCCAATAGAGATTTGACTGTCATATCAATGAATCAGATCATCATATGATGACTATAAAATCATCAATAAATGACCAAGATCATCTTATATTTTCTCTTGCAATTATTGCCATAATAAATGTGCATCAAAACACAGTTGAAGCAACCAGAGAAAAAGTAATGTTGAAACTCAAGAGTCATGAGCCCAACTAAAGCAAACACTGATCTCAATCATGGTGACATCACATGTCTATTAAAGTTTTTTACACTTTATTTAAATTAGGATATTTTACTTTAATTATATGGTTTTTGTTTGGCAGCTGTAGCTGCCAGTCATTTGACCCTTTTTTTACGATTTTTTTACAATGAAGGTATATGATCATAATAATGCAGGAAATACCTGTGAAATAACAGTGGTTTTTTTTGTTTTATTTGAATTAGAAGATTTTACTTTAATTTTATGGTTTTTGTTTGGCAGCCGTAGCTGCCAGTCATTTGACCCTTTTTTTACGATTTTTTTACAATAAAGGGATATGATCATAATAATGCAGGAAATACCTGTGAAATAACAGTGTTTTTTTGTTTTATTTGAATTAGAAGATTTTACTTTAATTTTATGGTTTTTGTTTGGCAGCCGTAGCTGCCAGTCATTTGACCCTTTTTTTACGATTTTTTTTCCCACTGAAGGTATATGATTGTTATTTTACAGGTATATCCTGAATTATCACAGTGTTTTTCAGTTTATTTAATTTAGGATTTTTTACTTTAATGTTACAGTTTTTTGGGGGCTGCCAGTCATTTGACCGTTTTATCATTTAACTGTTTTGTTACTGTTTAATTACAGATTATATTTGT